GATTTAGAACCACACGAACTTTACCAAATAAGGTATGAGACAATCTTAGTGGGACAGACCGAAAAAGTAAAACGGGACAATCATAGCGGGACGGGGGGAGTATATGATAGAGTGCATTACTAACCAATTGTAAAATTATACCCACCCAACATAGGTGAAAGCCCAGCTGAAGCATCATTATTCTAAGAAAATGCCATCCTCCCTTGTTATAGGTTTTGCTCATATTCAATTTTCATGCAATATAAATGTCCTTTCCGTTATTTCAACCCTAGATAATATTGTTCAAACTGTCTATCTTCCAAGAATAGAGCCTAGATATTCTGCAATATTAATAACTAGAAAGTGTTAATAGCAAAAATAAAACATCTGACTTCTGAGTCATTATTTCAACACCTAGACAAGCTTCACAACCTTTACGAGTATATATTTTTGCTGATTGTATTTTTCTTTTGAAACGATGAGCAACATATCTTTCTTTATATATAGCCATCGTTATTTACATTTCTTTTATTGAGACACTAATAACAAGACCCCAACCATTTTGTTGGTCAGTAAACAAACACACACATAGAGTCTGGTTAAAAAGGGTATCTTCTCGTAAAAAATGCGAACGATTTCATTTTGAGCATCTCAGATGCACTATTGCATCAAGAAATATTTCTCCATTCACTTTTGATCATTGATGATACAATCTTGCAAACAAGAATTCTACATTTTTCAAATAAAAAAAACTTTGATTTTTTTTTTAACAAAAACACATGTTTTTAAACACTTTATTACATTTTTGAAAATTAGTTATGGAGGGATCATTTATATTCAAAAGTAGTAAATTTGTAGAAGTTATGTTTTTTGCAGAAGGATTTCGCATTTAGTATACTACCTCCGTCTCGCTAAGAACTTTCTACTTTGACCTACACACATTAACACATATTTAGGAAATAAATTTGACTCTACTGTAGAGTACACTGTTTCAACACTGTTTGACTTTGTTTTGATGTAGGATAACTTTTCATTTAGGAAAATGAGAATATAATTTTGGGACGTCCCAAAAAGGAAAGCAGGAAATTTTTAGCTGTACAGAGTGAGTATACTTGTACCTAAATGTGTTATTTAAAATAACATTTATGTTTAGAAAAGAAAACGGATGCTTGATTTTTTCAAAAGAGTGTAATTAAATACCCGAGGACTTGGCACCTCAAGATTTTTAAAAGGGAAAGTTCTCGGAGTAATTACTGGAAAATAGGACTGTCATGTTTTTATTCCCAAAATAGGAGTAATTACTGCCAATTTTGGAAAATACTGCCATGTTTGAAGTCTGTTACTGCCAAAACATGACAGTAATTAGTCCTATTTTGGGAATAAAAACATGGTAGTCCTATTTTGGAATTTTCTAACTCTTTTAGTCCTATTTCGGGTAATATCTCTTTTTAAAATGAAAAATAATAATGAATAGACATGATGGTGACACGTTTTGAGAAGATGGAATACCCACAAAAAAAATTATTGTATCGATAGAGAGAACAATGAAGTGAACCACTAAAGAAAAGAAAAAGAAAGTAGGTCAGGATATGAAAGACGAGGAAATGTCCACTTCCACCATTGGTTGGTCTTAGCTTAATAATTGAGTCACAAATTTCAGCTTTGCACGCCCCCCCTCCCCTTCTAACTAATTACACAACCAAGGTATCCATGTTTTCTTTTCTAGTTTTAATGCATATTATAATCAAGTTATTCGGTTAATTCCTTAGACCATTTGTAGTGGTAAGATATTAGGAGTCTAAAATGTTAAAAGTGAATTTTAGACTCCTAATTCCTTACATTGGAGAGCATTATAGAAGGCAAAAAATGGAGATGGAGAGGGAGGAGTCCAATTTTAGCCAGCTCATTGACTCTGTGGAAGTGCTACTTTGTCAAAAAGAAAGGAATCATGAGTGGTGGGTAGTTAGTGGGCTCCATAAAATAAAACCCCATCTTTCTTAAAATGGTTATAATTTTTTTTTTCATAAATCAAATTTAGAAAAAAAAATATATCAAAATTCATAATTTTGTATACTCTTTCATATGACACCAATATGTAATATATAAAATGAAAAAAAAATCTGAAATTTTAACTGTCGAAATTTTCATGAGCCCAAAACACAATTTTTTAATTCATGTAGCCTTCACAAATAACTTAATATTCCGTAATCTAAATGTACTTGAACTAAGTTCTTTTTTGTTAACCGAAAAATGTTAAATAATATTTAATGAAATTTATTTATTTTTACATCAAAATGTGTATTTTTACTTCAAAATTATTCAGGGATTAAATTAAAAAGAAAAATATTACTTATAATAATTTAATTAATGTTTTACTAAATTGATACGTAAAAAAATGTGCAGAGTGTATTTTATTGACGGTGCTGGAATGCAGAGAAATAGGAGTCAAAACATTGTTTTCACACCACTCCAAATGATCTTATAGCCTCCCATCCCAATCTTTTGTAATAAGGAATATATAAAGCTTTATATCACACAACACCACTGGTTACGGTGTTACAATGTGACTGAGAGATTACGAGTTCAAATATTAAGAAATGTGTCTTGTCAAAATGAAATATGTGTCCCTTATGCACTCTTTTGGTGTGACCCTTCCACGGACACTCACCTTATGGGATGCAAGTGTGCACTAGGTTTCATAAAAATAATAAAATCCCTAAGTCCTCTATTTTGTTAAATTATTACTTGGTCACCAAACAAAAAAAAAAACATTTTTGCTTCTACTATCCCTTAGCTTGCTAATATGGAGCATGGAGCAAGCTACTGATCTATTAGAACATACAAGTATGAGACAACAATTTGTTTTTTGTCTCAAGTCTAAGTCATATAAAGAAAGTGATCGAGTATTTTCGTCGGAATCTTTGTGCAAGTTAATCATGTACATAAATAATGATGGGTTGTTGCAAGATTGTTTTTTTTTTAATAAACTTGCAAGATTGTCAAATAAGTTGATAGAAGGGATGAATTGATAGTGTTTAAAATTAGAAGGACGTCCATTAATACGTACTTCATTTTGACAAGTCCTATAAATATAATTATTCTTTCAATTAAACAAGTATATGTCCCGAGTCGTGACCTAATAGAATGCTCAAAAGAAATTTACTTCGAATATAAGCAAAACATAGGATGTTTTCTTTTGGACTGAAATTTGCCGGTCTGGTCTGGTCTGGTCTGAACTGGTCTGGTAAACGTCTAGTCTCTGTGTATTTTATAACTAAGAAATTCTGATCTGGCCGGTCTGGTCTGATCTGTTTAAGTCGGGTCTGGTCTGTTTAAGTCTGGTCTGGTCTGGTCTGGGACTGAAAACAGTCCAAAAGAAAACGACACACTAAAGTAAAGAGTATTTACTCCGTATATTTTATTATCAAGATAAGACTTATTTTATTCTACTAAAAACAAAATTCTTCCTAATATATAGGCTATGTTTGGCGGACATAAGTCCCTGACTTCTAGCTTTTGTATTGTTCAAAAAGTTTCTAAAAGCTTCTAGTTGTGTGTTTGACATGACAATATTTAAGAGCTTTTCAAAAATTAAAAGATCTTTTTTGAGATGCTACCGGGAGTAGCATCTAAGAAAAGCTCGTGACTTTTAGTATAAATTAGGACATGTTTGGCATAACTAGCTGAAAAGATACTTTTGTGAGCTTTTTAATAGCTGTTAGCTTTTAGTGGCTGAAAAGATCTTAAAAAGAAAAGGTGGTAGCTGTTTGATAAAAAGCTGACTGTTTGATTTAGTTCGGTTTGGTATACAAGCTGTTAGGATTAATTTATATTAAAAGTCACGAGCTTTTCTTAGATGCTACTCCCGGTAGCATCTCAAAAAAGATCTTTTAATTTTTGAAAAGCTCTTAAATATTGTCATGCCAAACACACAACTAGAAGCTTTTAGAAACGTTTTGAACAGTACAAAAGCTAGAAGTCAGGGACTTATGTCCGCCAAACATAGCCTTAATCCTAACAGCTTATATACCAAACCGAACTAAATCAAACAGTCAGCTTTTTATCAAACAGCTACCACCTTTTCTTTTTAAGATCTTTTCAGCCACTAAAAGCTAACAGCTATTAAAAAGCTCACAAAAGTATCTTTTCAGCTAGTTGTGCCAAACATGTCCATAATTATAAGTGAGTGAGTGAGTTATATTTTAGTAACAAAACAAGAAGGTACTATCGCTACACTTCGGATGCTTTTATCTGAACTACTAGTATAATTTTGAGATATTACCCGAAATAGGACTAAAAGAGTTTTAAAATTCCAAAATAGGATTGTCATGTTTTTATTCACAAAATAGGACTAATTACTGCCATGTTTTGGCAGTATCAGACTTCAAACATGACAGTATTATCCAAACTTGACAGTAATTACTCCTATTTTGGGAAAAAACATGACAGTCCTGTTTTGGAATTTTCAAACTTTTTTAGTCCTATTTCGGGAACTTTCCCATTTTCTATTGTGATCTAGTATACTCCCTTCATTTTAGATTTCTTACATTTCCTCTTTAATTTTAAACGTCCTAACTACAAAATCATGTTGCTCTATTAGGAAATAATTAGTGTTAAGTGTGACTTATTATTATTATTATTATTATTATTATTATTATTATTATTATTATTATTATTATTATTATTATTATTATTATTATTATTATTATTATTATTATTATTATTATTATTATTATTATTATTATTATTATTATTATTATTATTATTATTATTATTATTATTATTATTATTATTATTATTATTATTATTATTATTATTATTATTATTATGTACACATTTATATGTAGCTCTATTATATTTTATCTCATTATTAGTTTAGCTTCTATCATTGTATCTAGACAGTTTGTAACTCATACGATTAGCATAGTTAGCAATTGTATAGCTAAATTAGTTACTGATGTCTATCTTCATAGAGCTATTTAAAGAGCTCTGCACATACGTATAGATCATCAAGAAATTCTCTCAAATACTCTTCTGCAATTTCTAACTATATATTACACTCTAAAATGAAAATTTAACCGTGAAATATTAAAAATAACACATTCTAACATCACAAATATCATCAATGACATCACTATATAATATACTCATGAAAAATACTTCTCAAAAATATTAAAAGAACCTTATTTAATTATTGTATAAACAAAACCAAACACTAACTTTTCCCTAGCGAGAGCTCTTGCGTAGGGTTTGTGCTTCGCCGCCCTGGTGCGGCGCTTCTTCAATCGATGCGGCATTGCGTAGGATTGCCATGGTTTTGACGCAACTATGGATGGATGATCGTGGCAGCAAGAAGATAGAGGAAGAAGCAGGAGAGAGACGCAGGGATGATCGAGACATGGTTAGCGTGGAGAGGTTGTACGCTCCATTCGATGGCATAGATTTGGGTCATATGGCGGGTACGCTACTGAGACTGAGAGAGGGTATCAATCGAGCGACGGTCCGACCTCCTCTTGAACCACCGCCAGGGATTGAACGAGGTGCTAGGATTCAAGATATTTATTTTGCTTATTTAGTTTTCTTCATGCTTTGTCCTCCTCCGATGAGTTTTTATCATTTTGTCCTTTGGATTCTTGTTATTGTCTATGTTGCTAGGTTTGTCAATCTGTTGGGATTTTTAGCCTTTTTTATGTCATTGGGTATGTTTGGATCTATGGGAACATGGATGGCTGTGTCAAGCCCGATACATGGTTAGCGATTCGTGTGGCTCTTTCAGGGGTGACCGTCTCCACGTCTGGCCATAGGGTCTACAGTCATAGTTGTTGGAATTTAGCTGGAGTCTGTTTTGTTTTTCCTTTGATTGTTGTAATGATCCTGAAACTGCTTATGATATGAAGAGAGGCTAGTTTCGTTCAAAAAAAATTATTGTATAAACAACTGTGTCATTTTATAATGAGAAACTTAAAAAAAGGAGATAGTAATACACAGTACTAACTTAAAGCTAAGTGCCCATTTGGTGACCTTTTTTCCCGGCTTATCAGCCAGTTTTTCCACCAAACACGTATGTTTTGATTTCGCATGCTGAATTGTATAATAATAAGAAAATGTAAGGTTAGAGTTACTTTTCGGGCTGTATTGGCTGAGGTTACTGTAGAGAATCATTATAGCAATTTTTTCATATATACTTTTATTTTATTTATTAATAAAAAATATTTTAAATATAATTTTTTCATAAATCACCAGAATCAGCCAACACAACCACTTCAGCCAGAAATTCATAAATTTTAGCAGAATAAGACAATTCAGTCAATTCGAATGTTACCAACCGGGCTCTAATTGTTAATTTTTTTTGGGAAATTTCTGAAAGCCTTCATTTGCCCTTATTAAGGAATGAATGAATGATGAAAGTGTTGCGATGATAAAAAAAAAAAGCAATGAAAGTGTTCCTTGCCTTTGGATCGTCCTATTCTATTTCTATGTATATTCCCTCTTATAGCACTGAACTCGATCGATCTTTGTTATTGTTCTTAATTCTTACCGTTATTAATGATACTTTCAGTTTGCTTTCCAAAACAGTTGGAAATGGCTTGTATTTATACACGGAGTATATGTAAGGCAACATATTGAATATAACCATTGTCCCGTGCTGCCGTGCATTTGAGCGAGTTGAGTATCATTTTCCTCATATTATTCCATATAGCACATTATTCCAAAATATAATCCCATCCATCCTGTACAGGACTATTATTATTTGCGGAATTCGCTCTCATCAATGTGGCATGATATTATATTATGTCAATTTCATTCGGAATAGATATTAGAACCACACGAAAAATGACTATAGTTATCCATGCCCGCTTCAATTGGTTCATCGAAATCATATTAATCAAAATCATGTGGCAAGGTTATCATCATTGACATAAAAAGTTAAAGATTGTAAAACTTTAAGGCATGGAAGTAGTACACCTTTTAAACACAAAACTAGTAATTGAAGTTAAACTATGAAATAGAATACATAATTTTTTACAAGAATATTACTAAAATAAAACTTATTTACATAAATATGACTATTCATTATTACAACATAGAATTGGGGTAACTTAAGTTCAAAACTTGAACATGAATTACTATGATTTCATTACTATTCTAGTAACTAATCATATTTTTGTAAACCATCTTTATTTTGATCATATTTTGACACTATAAAAATATACAATCTAAATTCCTACCATTCATTTTGCAACACAACAATAGCATACCATACATTGCCCAAAATCACTCCGGCCACAAAATGTGTAAAGAAAAATTCCCTAAATAGAATAAAAGCATAGCATTGTTTCAAACAAAGTAGCATTATACGATAAAAAAAACAAAGTAGCATTATTTTATTCTTAAAAGATGACTCATTCAATTCTTTTTAAGGAAGCTTTTATTATTTTCATAGGATTAAGTAAGTTATATATTGGTAAGAAAACATATATAGTCCTACGGAGTATTTTAGAACATTACGTTTTACTCCTAATTTGAGTAATTTTTAAATGTCAATACTTACATACTCTTTGCAAATTAGGTTTTATAAAAAAGTACCAACATAACCATAGCAAACAAAAATGGAAAAAAAAAAACTAGTAGTATTCTAACCGTACCCAAACACTCAAATATGTAGTAATTTTACCATCTTATAAATTGCAGTCTAGTAAACTACATTGTAATTATGTATTTTCTTGATAGTTAGTAAATGTCCTAACAATTATGGGAGACTTTATACTTGTTCACACTAGAGATCCAGCCAACACATAGGATGTACAACCTGTACTAGATCGCTGTGAATTTCGATACTTGATCATTCGTCCAAAGTTTTCATTGCTCAATCAACTTAGCTATCCGTGCGGGTTTTAATGATGTAGTTGTTACGATTAGGCAAAGATAAACGATAAATTTAGAACAAGAACACAAGAATTAACGTGGTTCACACAATCGGGTTGATTGTGCTAGTCCACGGCGAACGAGAGAGAGGATGTATTATTATCAGCGTCCCAAGAGGTTTACAAGTACATAAGAGTCGTTTAAATAGGTTTAAGAAAACCTAAACTGAGATTAGAGCCGCAGGCCCAAAATTAAGCCTGTAATTAAAAATCTCGTCGTCTGACCCGGTCGGGTCTCTTATTTGACCCGGTCGGGTCTCCTTCACAGAACACAAACCCGGTAGAAACCAGGTCGGGTTTCCAAAACAGAAGCTCGGAGATCAACTGACCCGGTCGGGTCCTTCACCTGACCCGGTCGGGTCTCACATTCCGTTGCAACTTTAAAAACTAATGGATGTCTACCATTTTTTAATTTATGGGGGAAAAATCACAAACAAAATATTTTACTTCCATATAATTTTTTATTATCCCATCGATGCAAGAATTAGGATGTTTTTACTTGGACTGTAATTTGTCCCAGACCAGACTAGACCAGACCATTCCAGACCAGACCAGACCAGACCAGACCAGACCAGACTTGGATAGTTATAAAAATACAAAAAAACCAGACCTTACCAGACCAGACCAGACCAGACAAGATCAGACCAAACCAGACCAGACCAGCAAATTACAATCCAAGTAAAAACATCCTTAATTTTGTATTTGCAGTTGGCGCTTAATAAAAAGTAGACCTAGAACTTCCCGCCGAAATAAACTTAGGGATGCCTCCTTCCTTCCAACTCTTACTCATCCCATCTCTAAATCCTAATTAGGTCCCCCTCATTCTTCTAAATCCCTAATTAGCGGAATCCATCTTCTCCAACCTATTCAATGAAGGCACGAAATCCCCTGCCTCCAAGCCCCCAACCGCCGTTCGTCACCAAGGCTACCTCTGTTTAGGCATCTGGAGCCACCAGTGGCCACCGCAGCACTCTAGCAGCCCAGCACCGCACCTCCGCACGTCTAGCACCTTCACTACACCCATTCACACGTTAACAGGCAGTCAGGCAACACTCATCAACGCAGCTCACGTCCTTAGCCTTGCAGGTATGTTTATCTAACGGCTATACTAGTGGAAGGTTTGATCTAATTCCTATGTTTAATTCTAATTTTATGTTGTTTAATCACCCATACATGAAATAAATTCCAATTTAATTTTGAAAACAAGTACTCGTATAATTCATATATTGGATTTAATTTAGGCATTTTAAGTTTTTAGGAGAATTTAGTCACTTGAAACTATGGATTCTTTAATTGATTTTGATCTTTTCCAGTATGTAGTTTCTTGTGTTTTATTTGCTTAAATAAGGTTTAATTAAGTTAGGGGGCTGGGGGCTGGTCTGTTTAAGGCACTCTTTGTTTGCCAAGTTTTCCAATCCCTTTCTTGAAAATCAGATCCCTCACGCTCTTGAGATTAGGATACCCATATGTGATGTAAGGCCCCAGCTTCTGCAAAATTCCTAATGTTTTTTTTGATGATTCATTCATTCCCATTTAGATTGAAAGCAACACACACATCATTAGTTAGGAATAATAAGACTATTCTAGATAGAAATCACAGCCATACAGTAGAAGAAACATCTGTTTCAGTTTGAATTCGAGGTCCCGGTTAGGAGAAAGATCTGCTTTTTTTCATCAAATCTATCACTCCAAAAACGTTTACAAGTGGGCAATTACTAGCTGACTTTGACACACCAGCAGCAATCATGATGAGGAGCAAAACAGTAACAACCCATGTTGAACCCTTATAGCTCCCTGTCTCGAAATTCTTTGATGAACTGTTCGGGCTTCTTGACGATGAAGCTATCAAATTTGAGCTTCCTGACTTTCTGGTTTAGCTGATGCTTCATCCATATGGCCCACTCCTTATTGTTTCTCCTCTTCTTCAGCGCAACCTCGTCTATGTAAGTCAGAGGCTGCTCCTCTCCCGCCGCTGCCATGTACGTGTGCAGTCCCCGAAAAAATACGAGGGCAGCGTGACAGGAAGTCAGTTAGGGGGCTGGTCAATTTCTCTTTTTCTTTACTTGTATGTTTTACTAGTTTAAGGTGATAATCTAGATACTTTAACATTTAGAGCCATTTCATTTTAGGTTAGGCTACACATTTAGCAATTCACAATTACTTAGGAACCTTTTCTTACTTATTAATTTTGGTAAAAACTTAAGGCTGGATATTATTTTGGGTACTTTTTAGGAGAACTTAGTCACTTGAAACTATGCATTCTTTACCTGATTTTGATCTTTTCAAGTATGTAGTTGTGTTTTATTTGCTTAAATAAGGGTTTATTAATGGTCAGCAACGACATTTGCTTGAAATAGGAGAACTTAGTCACTTGAAAGTTGAAACCATGCATTCTTTACCGAATATTGTTAATACCTTCCTCTATATTATAGCTGACCTTTTACGAAGTTCATTCTGTCCTTACTTGAAATGTTCTGGTGTTTAGTTGGTGTGCAGCAAGCCAGCAACAACAACATTATGTCCTTACTTGAAATGTACTGCAACTTCATAGTTAACACGAGTTAATTAACACAGCTTTTTCGTATACAAATTGTGTAATACATATTGACAGCTTGAGGAGCAAAGTGAACCTAAAGTCCATTATCAGCTCAATCAAAGAATAGAGAAGTACATAACGGTATGTGATTTCTATGGGGCACCTTGATGCTTACTATTTTTATGGGGGCACCCAAATGCATAGATGTTGTGATGGGGGCACCCTGATGCTTAGTTTTTGTGTGATGGGGGCACCCTGATGCTTAGTTTTTGTGATGGGGGCACCCTGATGCTTATTATGATTTTTTTATATTTGTTGCTCGGGTTTTATTTGAAAAATCGATTTATTACATTTTAGTTATAGTCACAAAAAATAGTCACATAACAAAACTACTAAAACCACTCGTTATACATAGATACAAGAATGAGTTTTACAAATAGA